CCATCACTGCCCATTTTCAAGGGAGGGGGGAATAATTTTAGAAAAAAGCCTGAGAATAATTACTGTGGACGTGTTAATGTTACCAAGAGAGAAGAAAAATGCTCCTAATGGTGCTTTAACTAAATAAAGTGGAGTGGTAAGACATTGCTACTTCATTAATAACCCAGCATTCCACATGTGAAACTCTTGTGAAACTGGCAAGGCTTATGGGTGAGGGAACTCCATCACAGAAGCTAAGTGACATTCCCAAGGTTACATAGTAAGTCAGTGTCGGAGCTGGAATTAGCTTCTTAGAGTTCCTGGATCCCCGTCCTGTGCTTTGACCACTACAGCATGCTCCCCTCTCTTCCTCCATCTCAGAGCTTTTTGTAACTTTCTCCTTTTTTATTTTCTTTCCTTCTCTCATCTGTTCTCTTAAGTCCTAAAGGCACAACCCTGAGAGATGTAATTTTTTTAATTTCACTTTTATTTTTCTTGAGTTCTAGATTGCCCCCCCCCTTTATGATTATTAAACAAGTTTAAATTGTTGAGCCAACATTGCCTTACAGGGAGGAGGTGGTAATGACACAGTTTAGATTTAATTAAACTCTTTGAGGGTTTGATCATGTTCCCACTGAAGGCTGTGGCCAAAATTCCTATTGACTTCAAGGGGAACAGTGCAAATCTTTGTGAAAGAATAAGCATTTGACTGTGGATTTAAAACTGCAGTTGCATTAAAACACTGATTCTCCCTCTGCACGCTAAAATCAATCCACCTGTTTCAGTGGTGTAGGAAGATAGTTGGAATTCTGTGTCCTAATCTGACTAGAGTCTTGGCCAATGTGCCAAATTCATTGGGACGTAAGGGCCAAGCGTTGTGTTTAATTATGGTCTGTGGGCCATGGTGCACATCCAATAATCCATATTTACCACAATGCAGTGGGCATCTTCTCTGGCCTATTTTATACAGGAGGTCAGACTAGATGATCCCTTCTGGCCTTAGCGTCTAGGAATCTGTGCATGCCCACTGGTGTTAGTGGCTGGTTTTGCACAGAGATCAAGGGAAGGAACGTCCTTTAGGAGGGAACTAAACATTTAGTTATTGATTATAGTTCAGTGCCTGAATGCTGCGTTCATCATCAGGGAGAGAATCTATTGGACTGGCCGCACACAATGAGCATGTGAGAGAGGAACCCCACCCTGGAAGACACATCTGGCTGAAAAGCCTGTTCCTCCCAGGTAGGGAAGGGAGAGGAAAGGAATTCCTGAAGGGTTCAGAAGTGCCAGCCCTAATGTGATGTTTTTGGAGGTGATCATTTCTCTCTTGACGGGTCTGGTGGACGCTCACCTTGCAGACTGTCTGCAGTTCTGGGCCCCACCAGGCCAGAAAAACATTGGCAAACGGGTGGGAATTCAGGAAAGAGCAGCAAAAGCGGTCACCGGGGCTGGGGAGGCTGAAAGGGTGAAGTATGTGCCTTCTGGCAATATAGAGGTATGTAACTGCAAACCCCAAGGGTTTACTCAGGTCGGACCAAGGGGATATAACTAGGAGGAGTGGGCTGGAAATTAGAACAGGAAAATTTAGGCTGAATATCCCCAAACTTCCATAGAATCCATAGATTTATGGCTTCTAAGGCCGGAAGGGACCACTGTGATCAGCTAGTCTGGCCTCTATAACACAGGCCTGCAGAGCAAAGTTCTATAGGCCTGTGGAATAGTCTCCATAAGGAAGGGTGGAAGCCCCATTGCACAAGTCATGTAAAACTAGACTGGACAAAGATACTGGAGGGGACAGCCCTGCCTAGGCAGTGAGTGTGCAGGCGAACTTTGCCATCACTCATTTCCATGGTTCTCTTGATGCGGTGGTTTGAGCTGCATGTGTCCTCTGGGCAGTCTGGCTGACACCTTAACAGTGTGGATGAGCGGAGGTACCAAAGGCTAAAAAAATAACTAGTGTTGCCTGGGGGAAATTGAATCCTAGACCAGGAACACACAAGCGAGAGTGAGATGAGGTAATAGAACTAAGGGGGGAGGGGCATATTCGGGCACAGTTCTTCTGCATCTGGAGTCCTGGGTTGGAATCTGGATTCCTTGAGCAATAAAGTGGATCTTCAATATCCTGAGAGACGACTTTGGTCTACATCAGGAGTTTGTCAGTCTCGTGTGGCACCACTGTCTCCCTGTGCCCAGTACTGGCAAGTGGATGTTGCGGAATTGAGGGGAGCCCCCGATTGAGGTACATTGGCAGAGTCTCTTTTGGAGGGCTGGGTCTGGAATAGCAAGGGGGCTGCACGTTGCGTGTAGGAAGCCTTCCTAGCTGTTCCCTACATGATGTTTGGCTCTCCAGGGCTACTGATATTGCTGGGCCATATCTGTGAACAGCGGATGATGTCGATTTGGAAGATCCATTTGGGGAGAGGAGGGGGCAACACCCACAGGAATGTTACAGGTTAATCACAGGTTCCGATGAGGGGAATCTGATCCGAGGTGGCTGTTAGAAAACCGGGGTTTGCAGCAAATGTGTGTAAAGTGTAGTAAGAGTAACTTTGGGTTCTCCTGTCTATTTTCTAAGCTTTCATTGTTCTTGCCTTGCTGGGCTTCCCGGTTACGGATTGTAAAGCACAGTCTGGGTGCATTATGTGGCTTTGTGGATCGTTGTTGAACCCCTAAGGGGCTTTGTTTGTAAATATTTATAGCTGGCAGGTGATAAAGCCGGGGTGTCGGGAGTTGCCTTGGATGGACTCTAGAACCTGATTTAGTGGCAGCTGAGCTGACAGCCAGGGTAAAACCTCTTAGCCCACTGGATCAGATACTGCCGCAACTGATGAATGTCCTCGGAGCAAACCAGAGCTGTCTGCTGGAGCTGCAAACTTGCCCGTGGTGCATTCCCATTAGTCCCTGACAGTGTAATTGGTTTAAAAGTGTCTCTACTGATCTTCCTGGGTTGGCAGCCACCCAAAGAGACTGACGTGTAATGATCAATGTGGCCAGAGCATGGGCTCCTGGTTTAACAAGATAAATTGGTGCTTGCAGCTCCGTGCTCATAGGCCACCACACAGTACCATATCCATTGGTGTTGTCTCAGCCCTCGTGTGTGCCCCTGGGATGATATACATGTTTGTGCTGCTCAGCCCTGATGTGCACCCTTCCGATAATAATAATAATAATAATTAATAATTAATATTTATAGTGCTTTTCATCAGTAGATCTCAGAGCACTTCACGGTCTTTAATATGTGGATCCTCACAACACCCTGTGAGGCAGGGCAGCATTTTTGTGGATGGGGAAACTGAGGCACCGAGTGGCTAGTTGACTTGCTCACGGTCACATGGGAAGTCTGTGGTGGAGCAGAGAACTGAACTCCGGTCTCGCAAGTCCTAGGCTAGTGCTCTAACAGTGGATTGATTTAAATCATTATTAAAGTCAGTGATTTAAATCAGAAAACCTTGATTTTAAATCAACAATCTTAATCTTGTTTTGCATTGGTACTTTTTAGTTAATTTCCTAAAGAAAGGTTGATTCTCATTTGTTGATAACCATTAAAACATGTTGATTTGCAATTGACTATATATAGCTTTTACACTAAATTTGGTGGTGCTTTTTGCTAACCGGATGATACACTGTATCTATACACATTTATTTAAGTAGTTATATAACTTAACTTATGTTTATTCAGAGTCTTAAAGTAGTTAGAAAATTGTGAATGATGCATTTCTACTTTACAAAACTTTGATTAATTTTTTACTTGTGATTTATGTTGGGCTCTGTTTGGATGGAAATTAAAATTCAATTAAATGTACAGAAACATTTTAAAAAGTATTTGTTAGTTAAATACAGCTACCTTTTGATAGGCTGATAGATAAGACAAAACGTTTATCAAAACGTGTTTTGAGTATAAAACTAAGGAGGTATTTTCTGTAGTTGTTGAATTGATTAAAAGAACAGGAGTACTTGTGGCACCTTAGAGACTATGCTCTAATAAATTTGTTAGTCTCTAAGGTGCCACAAGTACTCCTGTTCTTTTTGCGGATACAGACTAACACGGCTGCTACTCTGAAACCATTGAATTGATTTGTAGGTCACAAAATCCTTCAGAATTTTAGAACTAGTAGGTCTCCTCCTCTTACACCCCGCTTATGTTCATAGATTGGAAGTGAAAAACAAGCTTTCCTGCTTTTTCAACTCTCAAGTGGTTTCTTAACTTTGAATGAACTAGTGGAATGAACTGAGAGGGCTAGATTCTCTCGCTGCACCTGCAGAAGAGGCTACTGCTGTCAAAAGCTGATTTAGCACTTGAAACTCCGGTTCCAGGTGCTTAATCAGTGGTTGCCCCAGTCCAGTGGTTTCCCTTTCTTTAAAACTTGGCAGCAAATGTCCTGCTTAACGGTATTTTTTTAATTCATGTAAATGATTTAAATAGATTTATGGTAAGTTTAGGGTTTGTCACAATTTCAAATTTAATTTTAAATAAGGTTTTTAAAAAAACTTGATTTACATAAATAAATCTGATTCCTTCCCCCCCCCCCAATACTTGATTTGTATCCACTCGGTGCTCTAACCATGGGACCTCCTTCCACTGTGTGCAGGAGGGGAGGGAAGCAGAGTCAGTCCAGGCTCAATGAAGAGGTTGAGAAATAACAGCGAGGGGGTGGGATGTGATTTTTCAAAAGGCTGTGAAAAATGATGAGCTGTGATGAGTGCTTTGTGTGGAGGCGTCGTTCCTTCCAGCCAAGGAACTTTCCATTGGCGGGTGGTCAGCGATGTGATCTCCATTTTACAGGTGGGGAGACTGAAGCACAGAGAGACTGGGACGTGGCCAGGGGGCTCAGTGAGTGTCCCATCAGAACCAGTCATGGACATGAGGCTTCCTGACTCCCAGCCCTCTGTTTTGAGCACTACACAGTGCTGCTAGAGGAGCTCAGGGACACTCTCAGCCCAGGACCTTTCACCAGCACTCCAGATGCAGAGCAGTTTGTGTTTTGCACTGGAGGTAATAGCACTTGTCTGTTTGTCCTTTACAGAGTGTCAAGATGGCGAGCGTGCTGTCCAGGCGCCTGGGGAAGCGCTCCCTGCTGGGCACCCGCGTTTCCACGCCCAGCTCCTTGGCAGACAGGATGCTGGGGACGGCCCAAATCCCCACATTGCAGGCGGAGCTCAGCAGAGTGTCTTCCCACCTGGCTTCGTATGAGGGTGGTCGGTGCAAGGAGCAGGGAGAGGAGAGCAGCACGATGCCCAGCTTCCCAAACCTGAACCGCTTACAGCTCCACCCAGGACAAAGAGTACGTACGGAGGCTGTTTGTACGGGCTGACCAGCAGTGTTAATCCCTTGAACCTGGGTGCAGTCTTCTGTGGGTCTGGCTTCACTGCAGAGCTAGCCTGGGCTGTAGGCCAGATGTTACCCTCCCCCTTCCATCCACACAGAAGAACCCCTGGCCCAGGCTTGCGGGTGCTCTAAGCACAAGCGAGCAGGCGTCGCTGAGGGTGGTTTAGGCTTGAGCTAGCATTTCACTTTCCAACCTGGAAACCCACCCTCTATACAGTGAAAACATGGGCTTGCCAGGGTGCTGTTAGTCCTCCAGTCCTGTCCCACGATGCCACCTGGGCTGTACTTTCTTGTTGAACTTCTCCCTTCTCCTGTACCTCCATAGCATTTGGACAGAGGTGCCGGCCAAGAAATCCATTTCCCATGCTGCCAATTGGCCAGAAGCTGTGCCAGCCTTCTGGTAACGCTGTGGTGTGATCCCAGTAAGGCCCATCGGGGCACTCTCGCACGGGAGCCCAGGAAGGACAGACAAGTTCTCCCACTGTATGCGAATGAATTCATAGGGTTGGCCCAGTTTAATGCACCAGTGAGAATCATGGGATATCCTGTTAGAAAATCCAGCCCAGCACACGGACTAGTATAGCACCATTGTGGATGCAACTGCATGGGTCTGACACAGGTAGGGCTTTGCAGGGGGGACACTCCACCAGGACGGGGCTATCTCTGCAGTGAAGACATGCCCTCTGTGGTTCAGGGGATGGGAAATGGGATCAAAGTGTCTGACTGCATTAGTTCAGGGATTACAATTGAGTTGTTGGCTCAAATCTGGCCTAGCTCTATAATTACTGAGTCATTTGCATCTGCTAGCTGTTGGGTAGCCAGCGTGGAATGAGTTTAGCGGGTTCCCAGTGGACAAGTGTCTCCATCAGCAGCTCAGTGGGTACTAACTGGCTTCTTTTTCTATCCTGTAAGAGCCAGGGTCACAGACCTGTCTTCCTTGTCTCTCTTGGATAAGGAGGAGGCCCTTGCCCTGCCCAGGCTGAGTTGGGATTAACCCTCCACCCTGAAGCGTAGAATCAAATGAAGTAAAAATCATAAATGAATTAAACTGTACCATAGAATCTCTATGGATAGTAATTCCATGCTCTAATAATAAGAATATAGCGGTAGGGATATATTACCAACCACCTGACCAGGATTGTGATAGTGACTGTGAAATGCTCAGGGAGATTAGAGAGGCCATAAAAATAAAAAACTCAATAATAATAATAATAATAATAATGGGGGATTTCAATTATCCCCGTATTGACTGGGTACATGTCACCTCAGGATGGGATGCAGAGATAAAGTTTCTTGACACCTTAAATGACACTTCTTGGCGCAGCTGGTCCTGGAACCCCCAGAGGAGAGGCAATTCCTGATTTAGTCCTAAGTGGAGCACAGGATCTGGTCCAAGAGGTGAATATAGCTGGACCGCTTGGTAATAGTGACCATAATATAATTAAATTTAATATCCCTGTGGTGGGGAAAACACCACAGTGGCCCAACACTGTAGCATTTAATTTCAGAAAGGGGAACTACACAAAAATGAGGAGGTTAGTTAAACAGAAATTAAAGGGTACAGCGCCAAAAGTGAAATCCCTGTAAACTGTGTGGAAACTTTTTAAAGACACCGTAATGGAGGCTCAACTTAAATGTATATCCCAACTTAAAAAAATATAGTAAGAGAACCAAAAAAGAGCTACCGTGGCTAAACAACAAAGTAAAAGAAGCAGTGAGAGGCAAAAAGGCATCCTTTACAAAGTGGAAGTTAAATCCTAGTGAGGAAAATAGAAAGGAGCATAAACTCTGGCAAATGAAGTGTAAAAATACAATTAGGAAGGCCAAAAAAGAATTTGAGGAACAGTTAGCCAAGGACTCAAAGTAATAGGAATTTTTTTTCTTAAGTACATCAGAAGCAGGAAGCCTGCTAAACAACCAGTGGGGCCACTGGGCGATCGAGATGCTAAAGGAGCACTCAAGGACGATAAGGCCATTGTGGAGAAACTAAATTAATTATTTTCATTGGTCTTTACAGCTGAGGATGTGAGGGAGATTCCCAAACCTGAGCCATTCTTTTTAGGTGGCAGATCTGAGGAACTGTCCCAGTTTGAGGTGTCATTAGAGGAGGTTTTGGAACAAATTGATAAATAGCAATAAGTCGCCAGGACCAGATAGTATTCACCCAAGAGTTCTGAAGGAACTCAAATGTGAAATTGCAGAACTACTAACTGTAGTCTTTAACCTAGCATTTAAATCAGCTTCTGTACCAGGTGACTGGAGGATAGATAATGTGACGCCAATTTTTAAAAAGGGCTTCAGAGGTGATCCCGACAATTACAGGCCTGTAAGCCTGACTTCAGTACCGGGCAAACTGGTTGAAAGTATAATAAAAAACAATATTGTCAGACATATAGATGAACATAATTTGTTGAGGAAGTGTCAACATGGTTTTAGTAAAGGGAAATCATGCCTCACCAATCTACTAGAATTCTTTGAGTGGGGTCAACAAGCATGTGGACCAAGGGTATCCAGTGGATATAGTGTAGTTAGATGTTCAGAAAGCCTTTGACAAGGTCCCTCACCAAAGGCTCTTACGCAAAGTAAGCTGCCACGGGATAAGAGGGAAGGTTCTCTCATGGATTGGTAACTGGTTAAAAGATAGGAAACAAAAGGTAGGTATAAATGGTCAGTTTTCATAATGGAGAGAGGTAAATAGTTGGTATCCCCCAGGGGTTTGTTTTGGGACCAGTCCTATTCAACATATTCATAAATGATCTGGAAAAAGGGGTAAACAGTGAGGTGGCAAAATTTGCAGATGATACAAAATTACTAAAGATAGTTAAGTCCCAGGCAGACTGTGAAGAGCTACAAAAGGATCTTTCAAAACTGTGTGACTGGGCAACAAAATGGCAGATGAAATTTCATGTTGATAAATGCAAAATAATGCACATTGGAAAGCATAATCCCAACTATACATATAAAATGATGGGGTCTAAATTAGCTGTTACCACTCAAGAAAGAGATCTTGGAGTGATTGTGGATAGTTCTCTGAAAACATCCACTCAATGTGCAGCGGCAGTCAAAAAAGCGAACAGAATGCTGGGAATCATTAAGAAAGGGATAGATAATAGGACAGAAAATATCATGTTGCTTCTATATAAATCCATGGTACGCCCACATCTTGAATACTGTGTGCAGATGTGGTCACCCCATCTCAAAAAAGATATATTGGAATTGGAAAAGGTTCAGAATAGGGCAACAAAAATGATTAGGGGTATGGAATGGCTTCCGTCTGAGGAGAGATTAATAAGACTCAGACTTTTCAGCTTGAAAAAGAGACGGCTAAGGGGAGATATGATTGAGGTCTATGAAATCATGACTGTTGTACAGAAAGTAGATAAGGAAGTGTTGTTTACTATTTCTCATAACATAAGAACTAGGGGTCACCCAATGAAATTAATAGGCAGCACGTTTAAAACAAATAAAAGGAAGTATTTCTTCACACAACGCATAGTCAACCTGTGGAACTCCTTGCCAGAGAATGTTGTGAAGGCCAAGACTATAACAGGGTTCAAAATAGAACTAGATAAATTCATGGAGGATAGGTCTATCAATGGCTATTAGTCAGGATGGGTAGGGATGGTGTCCCTAGCCTCTGTTGGGCAGAAGCTGGGAATGGGCGACGGGGTGGATCACTTGGTGATTACCTGTTCTGTTCATTCCCTCTGGGGCACCTGGCAGTGGCTACTGTCAGAAGACAGGATACTGGGTTAGATGGACCTTTGGTCTGACCCAGTAGGGCCATTCTTATGTTCTGGTTGTGCTCAGCGGGATGGAGGCCCTTGGAGGGTCAATGCAGTAGATTGCATGCTCTTAGGGGCAGGGTGCTTTGCAGAGCACTGGATCTGTCTTCAGTGGCATAGGAATGATTGCTGTTCACAGAATCATAGAAATGTAGGACTGGAAGGGACCTTGATAGGTCACGTAGTCCAATCCCCTGCACTCCTGGCAGGACTAAATATTATTGTAAACCACCCCTGACAGGTGTTTGCCTGACCTGTTCTTAAACATCTCCAGTGATGGAGATTCCCCAACTTCCTTAGGCAACTTGTTCCAGAGCTTAACTATCCTGACAGGAAGTAACAGGAAAAGGTCTCAGAGTGTGGCTGTCAGAAATGGAGCAGGGCAGCTGCTGATCTGCCACCAGGGCCCCATAGTTCTTCCTAGAGAACTGTAAAACATATTTAAGGCAGATCTCTTAAAACAAAGTGTCAATAAGGCCCTCATTTTATTTTTTTTTGGCTTGCACACAGAACCGTCCTACAAGCTTACAGAGAAGCCAGATTCCTTTTGCTCTACATTTTTAAACACATGACAGGGAGGGCTGTTTTCTCCAGTACACATCAGTGTTGGGCTTTTTTGTTCTTCACACTAGAAGCCGTATAAAAATAGTCATTGGGAGTGGGGTGCTGTATTTACATACCAGCGACAGATGACTTTTTTGTGTTTGGTTGCTTTGCAGCCTCAGCAGATGCTAGAGCATACGTGTTCTGCTGCTCAGTGCTTGGCTAGGTCTGGGGAGCCCGCCGGCGTAGTTAATTATGGAGCCTCATTCCTTATTATCTGCAAAGAAACTCTTGGAGAGAAGCGGGGTGTAGTGGTCAGGAGCTCCTGCGTCCTAATCCCCACACTGCTGCAGCTGCTCTCTTTGAGTTTGGGCAAATCACATGCCCTCTCTGCTTTGGTTTCTGCATCCAGTGTCCGCTGAGACATTTTCTCTCTGCCTCAGAGCACTGTGCATTTATGTATCCATCGTATACAGGCCTGTCCACACATCACCTCTGGTATTTAGGTATAGGAGTGCATGTCCCTATAAATAGCTATGAACACTAACCTACACAAGTGTAGTATATTTCAGCACAGATATGTTTACCTTAATAAAAATAGACTCTTAGAAGCTAGGGAGAGAAGCAGCCGAGTAGGTCATTGGGTGACCTTGAGAGAAAGAGGAAGAGGTTGAATATTTCCTCTACTTTCCTCTGTGGAGAAGCTGAGAATGGGGGCCAGTCATGACATGAATGAAAGCTCTTCTTTGCCAGACTCTGCCTGTCTTGCGAAGGAGGGTGCATATTCCATTGGTTTTGTCCACCCACGCAAATGAAGAAAAGTCTCAGCTTTCTTTTCTCCCTTTCCTTAGATGGTTGATCAGTCCCGTTCCTCTGAGGATTTGACGCTTTTAACCAAGGAAACCTCCTTTCTCTCTCGCCTGTCTTTTTGTTTCATCCACCTGCTATGTCTTGTCATAACCCCCCATTGTAAGCTGATTGGGGTAGGAACTGTCTTGGTACTTCATGGCTCTGCTCACCTAGTGCAAGGGTCCCTGATCGCTACCGTAATGCAAATAATAAGGGGAACCCAAGGATGTGACATGGGGAGGTGATGGGGCTGGTTTCTTTCCTTTTGGGGAGGAATGTTTTACTGTGTCTGTTGGTTAGGCGGTCAGAGCAGTCATTTAAGAGGATAGTTGATAGCTGCGGCTAGAATACATTTTCCTTCCTCTGTGCTGGCGTCCCATCCAACTTGCAGAGGCAAGATTTAATTTCTGTTTATTCTAGGTGTGGGGGAGGGGCGTTCTGGGAAAAATAGTTGTCCCCGTTCTTACCCTCCCTCCTCCCCCCCTGGAAATTAGGCTACAAGGGTCAAATTTATTGCTGGCCTAAGCAGGTACAACTCCATTGACTTCCATGCAGTTGTGCCCATTTATGCCTGCCATGAATTTTGCTCTGGGGTTGTATAGTGGAGGTTCTACAAGAATGCCACCCTGTAAATGGGGCAGGAGGGGGGGGGTCTCCAAACTCCTGCAGTCCTTCTCTGACTGTTAAAGGGGCAGTTGCCACCATCCCGGCTAAGAACTCTCTTCAAGCATTATATCCTCCACTTACTTTTCTGTTTCAGAGTAGCAGCCGTGTTAGTCTGTATCCGC